AGGAAGAATATAATGTTATTGGTAAGACTTTTGAAACAACTAAAAAATGTRATGTCCGTTGGGCACGAAAACCTTTTGCCCAACCACGTCTGCATTTGGAAAACTTAGATCAACCTATGTATCCTATTTTACTGAAATCTCCATTAGAATACTTTAGTGAATATTTTGATAATGACATTTTTGAAAAAATGGCCTTTTACACAAACTTATACGCAGTATCAAAACAAATTTCAAGATTCAAACCAACAAATATAAACGAAATGAAAATATTTATTGGTATTCATATTATTATGGGCTCTTTGAAATATCCTAGAGTACGTTTGTATTGGGAAGAAAATTTTCAAATTAATCTCATTTCGCGTAATATGACACGAGACCGTTTTTTCGCATTACGAACTAATTTTCATATAATTAATAATAGCACTATAAGTAAAGAAAATAAAGATAAATTTATCAAAGTGAGACCATTATTTGATGCAGTGTTAAAAAAATGTAATAGCCTACCTTTAGAACAAGACCTTTGTGTTGATGAACAGATGGTTCCTTTCAAAGGTCAACTCTCAATTAAACAATATATGAAAGGAAAGCCTATAAAGTGGGGGGTCAAAATTTTTTTATTATGTGGAGGTAAGAGTGGAATGGCTTATAATTTTATGCTATTTCAGGGATATTCAGAATTAGACAGTAACTTAGTAAAATCGGTGGGCTCTGGTGGTAGTGTTGTGTTACATTTAACACAGAATGTWCCTCCGAACCGCCATTTTTTATACTTCGATAATTATTTTTCGTCATTTGGATTATTTGAGAGATTGCAACAGTTGAACATTTACGCGGTTGGTACAATTAGAACAAATTGGTTTGCACAACCACCATTTTTAAGTGACAAACAAATGAGGAAAATGGGTAGAGGCACTGCATTTGAAGTTACCACAGATATGAATAATTGTAATATAGGACTTTTGAAGTGGTTTGATAATAAAGCAGTTACTCTTGGTTCTAATTACATAACATCTGGAGAAGTTGACAAAGTTGAGCGTTGGGACAAAAAGAAAAAGGCATATGTAGAAATCGAAAGGCCAGAAATTGTAAGAAGATATAATGATTCAATGGGTGGTGTTGACAAAATAGATCAGTTGATTAGTTACTATCGTATTTTAATTAGATCTAGAAAATGGACATTACGAATGGCTATGCATGCATTCGATATTGCCATTACAAACAGTTGGATTCAATATACCAAAGAGGCTGAACAGTTAAATATCCCTAAAAAAAAT